CACTCATCAACGGGCACGGACATAGAAGTCGACCTCGGACGAAGGGAGCTGCCAGTCCTCCTTCTTTATGCCATTTCTTCATCTTGACATAGACCGTGGCGTAGAAGGGGATCATCGGCAACATAGGGACTCCCAAAGGCTGCAGTTGTTGTCGCCTTCTTTCCTCCGTGGCATACCTCATAGCCATAGGCCAAGCTTCTCGTCCACAACCTGCCTCCGCCAATTTCACCCGAGTCTTTCTTTTCAGTTGGTTTACCTCGGACTCGATGTGGCCGTTGGAGGCCGGATCATCACCGGCCGTGAACGTCTGCAAGATGCCCATAGTTGCGCACCACTTGCGCATTTGTCGACTCAACAGCTCCTTGGCGCGGTCTGAATGAAGTCGATTTGTGGCTATCCCCATAGCTCGGAACTTGATCAGGGTCCTCTGCATGGCCTCGATCACCATCTCCTGAGCGCGAGATTCCAGCGGCTCCATGTGCACCACGTGGCGAACCGGGAGCTTCTTCTGGCTAGCCTCCAACTCTGCCGCGAACGCTGCCTCGTCGTAGTCCATGTCCGGGTTCAAGATGTCCTGCTCCTCCTCCTCCGGCGCCTCTTCACCGAGTTCGGCCGTAGGGTCACCCACAGCGCCTTCGGTGGACCCCTGTGAGTCCGGCTGAACACCCCCCCATTCTGCTGCTCCTCATCTTCTTGGCGTTCTCCTTGGTCACCTTGGTCATGAAGTCCATCCCCATCCTTCACGGCCTTGATCTCCTGGGTGTAGTCGGGAACCAACGCCACCGCCATGAGGGCATACTTGACTGGTCTTTTGGTGACCAGACCCACTGTATTGGTCAACGGGCCCACAATGTCCACTGACACCGACCACGCTGATGACATTCGGTCTTCCATAGACCTTCTGCGATGAGGCTTTTGTGACCCCATCTGTTCAATGCACAGACGACAGTCCCTACGGAACGGCCGATGGCCCAGTGCAAAGTGCTTTTTCCACCCCTCCACCTCCTTGGGTTTCACCTCCACGAAGTTTTCCAAGTAGATCTGGATGGCCTTTTTGATGGCTGCACGTAGCCCTGGTGCCCACAAAGCCCATGATTTGGACTGCGCAATGCTTTCCTCCACGGAGTCCGGAAGTGCTTCATCCTTCAGGTTCTTGGCGAGGAGGTTGCGCAAGTCCTTCATGTGCGGCAAGTTAGTCATAAGTGTTGTAGGTTTTCTCTTCTTATGGCCCATAGCTCCCTGGTCGAAGGTGACCATGGCCATGTTCTCTTCCATCTCCAGCCCACGAAGTTCCGGCCAAGTCCAAAAGGAAGGCACTTGAGATGCCGCCGCCATGGACACCGGGTCCGCTGGAGATTCAAGCAGGAAGCCTGTGGGATGGCGAGCCACCTCCAAATCCCTCCGAGCTTCTTCCGCCATGTGGTACAACCCCACTTGTTTCAACACAAGGGCAGCATCATGATCTGCCAGCCGTTGTTCTCCTGCTGAAAGATGTGGTAGTCCAAAGCGATGTTCATGGCGATCTCGTAGGGGCCGTGGTCCAGGTCTCCGGAAACGCAATCTCGAAACCGACCGACGTGGAGGTCCTCCCAGAATCACCGCCAAGGAACCTTGCTTCGCCAGGGAGACCAAGAATGCCCACAAAACCGGGTTGTGAATGTCCTGGTCCTTTCCATGCATCACATCCAACGCAATGACTTCACATCCGTGATCCTGTAGCTCCAACCATTCTTGAGCACGTTCACCAGCAAATAGGTGCAGGATCACCTTTTTTGCCCTCAACAACCTTGGCACTTCAGGAAACCGATGTTCCCACCAACTCATCACCTCTGGGTCCAGGTTGTCCTCCTGCTCGATGTCCAGGTATTTGCGACGCTCCGCGGCCTCAATCTCATGAATGAGCAACAAGGCGTCTTTCTCCGGAACCACCGGGCACCCATCCCGAAGGTGTGACACGATCTTTCCCCTTCTCGGGTGTTCAACAGTACAACCAGACCTGGACCATGTCATCTTGTAGCCCAGATCCACCAGTCCCCGCACAGGGACTATAGGTTCCACCGCCTGCTCCGACAAGACCGTTCCAGTTGCTGGATCTTGATGATCTGACCATGTGCCAGCTCCACCGTCACCAACTCGGCCTTCTCGATCTCCCCGTCCAGAGCCATCCTTAAAGGATGCGTAGCTCCCCCATCTAGGAGATTTAGAGACTCACCCAACGCCGCCCCAGTGCCCATGTCCAGCGACTTCACATTGATCGCCTTCAACGTCACGGAGTGCAGCGACTTCAACAACGCTGCGGCCTGCCCAACCAAGCCACCCAACTCAGCGGACGCCGTAGTGCCTCCAGAGTCACCTGCGGGAGTATTGTCATCCTCCTTCACCTGCTTCTCCGGCTCCACGTCGTTCGCCTCCTGGTTTTTGTATTGACCTCCCACCCGTTCCGGGGTAGTTGGCTTAATGTCACTGCCCTTCACCTTGGCCACCTTCGTGCTCTCCTCATTCACCTCCTTTGTTTTGCCGATGTGAGGACAGTCTTTACGAGTGTGGTTGAGACCTGAGCAATGAAAGCATCTGTTGTCCTTGGGGCTCAACAGGGAGTGCTTGAACTTGCAGCGATCACCCCTGCGGCGTCCCTGTTCACTTAACCAAAAACGACACTCGTGCCGGCCTTCTCCGGCACCACCCTTGGCCTCCGGCCCACCTCCACCATTCGTAGTTGTGGTTGCCGTCGTTGAAGTCAAGGTCATAGATTTCACCGCAGGAACCGTTTTCGTAGTTCCTGCACCATTGACACCATGAGCCAACTCTTCACTCTCGACCTGCAACAGCTCCGCAATCTTGATCGCGTCCGTTGTAGGTCGGGCGTCAATGTTCAACTGTTGACGACGCACAGCAAGCCTGTATGCCGCTTGAGCGCCTGTCTTGGCGATGTAGTCCGAGGTCTTGGTCAGGACGCCCGCGAGAATCACCGGATCCGGCAACATTACCGCCAGCTCTTGTGCCCTGTTCCATCACCGACGCCATTGCCTCAGGTTTGAAGCGACTTCCGACATTGTTCCAGAAGTCTTCAGGTCCGTCAAATAGCGGATGAGGTTCATCCTTTCGCTTTGGCCTCCAGGTTGAAACCTCACAAACAACGTGAACAGCAGATGCGAAGCACTCAACTTCCTCGCCGCCACTGCTTCCGACCGAATCACTTCAGGCACCGCCTGCAGCAACAAACTGGTCATTCTCCTCTCCGTCCTCGGCCACTTGGTCGCCGCCGTCGAGGTTCCTGGGTCCAGTCTGAGCCTTTGGAGAGGTTCTGAGGACAACCACACCGCGTAGTGCTCCTCGACACCCTTGATCGTAGTGGCCCACCAATCTCCCGCCGATGAACTCACATCTGCAAGTAGTGGTTCTATGGTAACCAACCAATCACCGAAGGTCAATGAGTTGGCGTCCATTGGCAAGATTGGCAACTCAACGTTGCGAAGGCTTTCATTCATGCCCTCTTCGGAGCCACCGGCCCCGATTCCCGCACCTCCAGGAGCAAATCCACCGCCAGGTCCACCACCGTGAGGAGGTCCAGCGGCTCCACCACCTCCACCCCCCCGACCCCATGCCAGCAGGGTATCCCAGCTCCTTGCGTGCCAAGATGTTGACCATTCCCAATAGTCCCGGCTCCTTGCATGCCAGGGTTTTGACCAGTCGTCATAGTCCCGGCTTCTTGCATGCCAGGGTTCTGACCATTCGTAGTCCCCGAAGACACCGAAGACGTCATAGGTTGCGTGCCAGCGCCCGGTTGTAGGCCTTGTCCCCCTTGAAGATGATGTCCTTGTCCAGCGGGTTGCCCACTGCCACCATCAACGGGTTGTCCGCCAACACCTGAGCCCTCTGGAACGGACTTGAAAGAGGCATTCGATGAGGCCTTTCCCTCACCCACCATCTGTTTGACACCCTCCGCGAACCGCTGCTCGGCCTCACGAAGACATTGAAGACGAAATAGTTCCACCTGATCCGTAGGTCCAACGCTGCCCGCCACACCGGCTTGTTGTTCTTGAAGTTTGGCAGCTGTCCATGGGTTAATCGGTGAACTTTGAGCTTGACTGAGTCCAGGAGGACTCCCATTTGCACCAGCTCCTTGAACTGGCTCTCCATGTTGTCCAACACCTGGCCGTTGACCTTGTCCCGCCTGTAGCGCCCCTTGTACCTGAACTTGGCCAGCAGGTAGACCCCCATCACCATGAAGGCCACTTAGATCCCCTCGTTCCGGAAGCACCGGCATTTGCGCTTGGCTGCCACTCCCCATGGCATTCCCAGGGAATGGAGTTGCGAGAAAGCCCAGCCCTCCAAAGGCCTCACGGGCCTGGTGAAGCAAGGCTGCCGCTCCCGATCCGAGTCCTCCCCCATGACCTTGGGCTCCAGGAGGAAGTGGAAGTAGACCTGCGCCAGCTGGAAGAGGGGGAACATCCGGAAAGATCGGCACTTGCACAGTCTCCTGTCTGGGAGCCACCGACGTCTGTTTCGGCGTAGCTGCCGTCCTCTTCAGGGCCGGAGTCATGTTCGTGCTCGGCTCCAACGACTGTGCTCGGCGAGTTGGTGCAGACCTTGCTCGATGTTCAGCCAGCATTTCATCCAGCTGCTCATCTGCGCTCCTACGCGCTTTCGAAGCGGCGCGGCGACGGTCCATGGCGGCCATCAACCTGACCACGTCAGGGTGGACTTAACCGGTCCGATTTGGGCTCATAACCCATGTGAGTGCAATTCACTCGGACCTTTTTCTTGAGCCAAACGTTGCCAAGTTAATGGCTTGTTTTGTGCGTGTGTGGGGGGTTTTCAAGAGTGCTCGGTACACTTCTTTACTCGCAATTTCAAAGCAGTGCAGTTTAAACAACAGGTGCGAACAGGGTTGTGGAAGGACATTTGCGTGAGACACATGTTCAGAATAGAAGCCGGCCCTACCCAGAAGACGAACCAACAAGGACTCGTTGCCGCTTGCTGTTGCCGCTTCGGTTCTCAGTTGGTGGCCCGACTGGGTAGTTCGTCCGCCACAAGACATGGTCCGCAGGAAGCTTAATCTTGGTGAGTCCTGATGGATGTTTTCGGATTCTCATTTTTCTCGAACGATCTGTGGTCACTCGACTATTTTCAGCACGTCTGTTTTTACCGTTTTATAGAGCGTGGTGGCAGTTTCATTAGAATTGAAAGAGAGTTGAATCAACCATTGCTTCTTCAGAAAACCAGCCTGACACCTGTTGTAGATGTTTTTTTCCACAATGTACAGACACGAAGGGACATCCCCACAACCAACATGTACCGCCTTAAGAACACCTGGACCCTGTTGAGCGTCAAGGTTTTGTTTTCGCAGAATTGCCGGGATTGGATGTCCAAAGAAGGAAAGAGACCCACTCTGCAACATGAAAAAAACGGGAGTGTGGCGGATTTCCACATATATAGGATTTTACGAATGAATGAAAACAGTACTCACCCCTTTCCATGGTATGTTTGCAGCAAGTGCATTCATCGAACGATGACACGCACAAATCATGAAGTGTACGAAGACCGCTCTGGTTCGAAGGAAAAGCGCTTCGCATGGTAGCGGAGCCTGAGAAGCCTACCCCCCTTTTTGGGGGTAGGTGGAGGCTCGTTTTTTTTTTTAGCTGACGCCATAGGCTTGAGGCTTGGACCACATCCCAAAGTCTGAGAAGGTCCCTGAAAAGGAGATCGGTGGCCATGGCTGGTTTAGAGGAGGCAGCAGGATCACCTTCATCGACCGGAGGAGGAGGTGAAGGAGCTGAGATAGCCATGAGAATGGTTCAGGCCGCAGAAGCTGCTTCGTTAGCTGCAAGGACAGCAGCTGAGGCCCTGGTCAGGCGAAATGCTGGAGAGGAGTCATGGTTTAAGGTGCTACCAAAACCATCACCACTAGATGCCCGCAACCGTGAAGAAGAACTTGGGCAGTGGCGAGATTTCAGTTGGGGGATCGAACAATATCTTTCATCCCTGAACGGCATGTTCACCGAAGACTTCAAGGACATCAGAGCCAGGCCGAACGACCCCATCGACCCGAGCATCCAATCTGATGAAGAGAAGCAAAGAAGCAAGTTCCTCTATGCCCTGCTGGCTTCGTTGGTTAAGCACCGTCCTCTTGCCATGATCCGCCAGGTCAAAGAGTCCAACGGCATGGAAGCGTACCGCCTCCTCGTGCAGAGCTTGGAACCCACCTCCAAGAACAGGGCACTCGGCCTTTTGACTATGATCTTGGAGTGGAAGCCCTTTGAGATGAAGAAAGGGAGCATCCTTGGACAAGTCCTGCGGCTAGAAGAGGCCTTTGCAGAATATGAAAAGACGGGTTCAAGGCTCGAGGACAATATCCGCTTCGCCGTCCTGATGAGATGTGTTGGTGGCCAGCTCAAAACCTGGCTTCAGCTGAACGTCGCAGAGTCCCAGGACTACCAGAAGCTTCGAGAGGCCATCGTGCAGTATGATAATGCGACGATGAGATGGACAAATGTGATGATGTTGGGAGCTGAGGCCAGCAGCACAGATGGAGTGGTCCCCATGGAGATTGACAGGATCAAGGGCAAGGGCAACGACCACAAGGGCAAAGGAAAAGGCAAAGACTTCGACAAGAAGGGAAAAGGAAAGGGCGATGGAAAAGGAAAAGCCAAAGGAAAGGGCTATGGCAAGCCTCAAGATTTTGGAGGCAAGTCCCAATCGAAGAGCGCTGGAAAAGGAGATGGCCAGAAGGGCCAGAAGGGCAAAGCCGAGCAGAAGACGTGCTTTACATGTGGTAAAGTGGGCCATTTCTCCAAGGACTGCTGGCAACGCCTTCGACAAGTCAGTGAAGAAGGTGGAAATCCTCGATCCAGCGCTGAGACAGGAGCAGTGTCTTCAAGCACTACGACATCGAGCCCAGGGACGAGCGGAAAGGCAGGAACCGTGAAGAGAGTGGAAGGAGTATCACCTTTTGAATTCAAGAATGAGCCCATGGTCTTTGACTTGAGGCCTATGTCAATGCCAAGCGTGGATAGCAAGCAAATCCGGATGGTGCAGTTTTTCTCCATCTCTGAGGACAATGAGCCCAATGACGAGCACGACAAGCTGATCTACCACATCATGGCTGTGAAGGAGCACTATGAGAGCATGGGAGAAGAGAGCCCAGTGAAAGTGGTCATCGATTCAGGAGCTGACGCTACGATTTTGCCAAGCTCCTATTTGGTCATTGGCACCGAGCTGGATGAAGGAGCACCCCGTCTGCAAGATGCTCAAGGAACTCCTATAGAGATTCGAGCATACAAGCAAGTGTGCTTCATCTTCAGGACTGAGGATGACAAAGAGGTGCAAATCTTTGACAAAGCCCATTTCTCTGACGAGATCAACCAGCCCATCATTTCCTACGGCAAGTTGATGGAAGCAGGCTGGAACATTGAAGCTGGGCAGTTGAATGGGGGCCAACATTCCATGACGTTTGGTCTAGGGCAAAATGTTGTGAGGATCCCACTTCAGCTGCAAAACAAGAGTTTGGTGGCCACTGGACATCTTCGTGCAGTGGTCGAGGAGACGTCAGAACCTATGATGGTCAGGGTGCTGGAGGCAAAGCTGCTGGATGGCCTGCAAATGAAGGCTAGATACCAAGTCGGCTGGAAGCAGGATGAGGACAAGTGGATTGGAGTCCATTTGGCAAGGAAGCTGCAGACGCCGCAGTTCGTTGGCGAGATCCCTTCAACAGTTGATTGGAGGAGGACGACATTGGTGAGAATTGAGGGCCAATGGCAGCTGTATGAGATGTGTGAGAACCTCCATGGGCTTGTGAACCAGGAGGAGCAGATCGAGAACGTCGAGGACAACACCCTGGTGCTGACGATACTCACCCCAGCTGAGGTGAGCACTGAGGAGATGGGCTTTGAGGTCGAGACTGGCCTTGATTTGAGGCCGAAGGTGGATGAGGCACTTGCAAGGAGAGATCATGAGGTCCCCATGGAGGAGCCACTGAGGATGGTGGATGATGAAGGAAGTGCAGAAGCAGCGGATAGTGGTGGAGTGATTGCTGAGCGTGCAGCAGTTGATGAACAAGAAGGACGCTTGGTATTGGAGGCCGGACTGCCAGACCATGTGATTGTGAATGACATCCAGTTGACAGCCACAAGTAAGTTGAGAGAGCTTCGAGCAGCATGCCACTTCTACGGCATCAGCCAATCTGGAAGCAGGTTGAAATGTTTTCAACGCATCGTGAGCCACCTCAAGGAGCGCGAGCTGAAGGCTGCTTCAGAGGCCGTGGCAGCTGCAGAACTTCAGATGGCCAGACAACCAAGGATGCAGAATGTCATCCCCGTGCCTTCGAAACAAGTGCAGGATCTACATGCCCTTACACACGTACCATACCAGCCATGGTGTGAGGTCTGCTTGAAGTACAGAGGAAGGCCTGACAGGCACTTGAGGACCGGTGCTTCTCACACCGGTGGGATACCGATCATATCCCTGGACTTCGCCTACACCAAGGCTGGAGAGGTGGACAGAGCACCAAAGGCACGAGATCGAGGACACGACCCTGAAGATGGTGACGAGGTGATTGACCTCTATGATCAGGAGGAGCGAGAAGATAGACGAGATCCAAGGATCAAGGAGCTCAAGTCAACTATGTGGTTGATCATGGTGTGCAGCCAAACTGGAAGCTTAGGAGCTGTCCCCCTTCAATCCAAAGGACAGCTGAACCTCATGGCCCGCGAGATCATGAACTTTATCCAGAGTTTGGGCCATGTTGAGATTGGCTTGTATGGTGACAACGAACCTACAATTCGCTCCCTCCTGAGGATCCTTCTGAATAGCAGGCATGCTATGGGGCTTCGAACTCGCCTGTACACCACCAAGGTGAAGGACTCTGCCGGCAACTCCCTTGCTGAGAATGCCATCCAAAGGGTACGAGGCCTTGCATGCACTTTGATGGGAGAAGTCATGGCGAAGACAGGCCTTGCGCTCAATAGCAACCATGGATTGTGGAGTTGGGCCGCTCGCCATGCATGCTGGCTATTGAACAAGTTTCAAGCTTCCAAAGGGATCACCAGCCACGAACTAGTTCATGGCAAAACATACAATGGTGCTTTGGTCCCTTTTGGATGCCCTGTGTACGCCTTCGTGAAGCCACAGTCCGGCAAAGGGAACCCAAGGTGGAGGATGACTTTGTTCCTAGGAAAGACGGAAGGTCAGGATTCCTGGATTGTGGGAGATGGCAGCCAGGTCATGCTGACACGGTCTGTGAGAAGGGTGGACCGGCCTTGGAGGAGCTTTAATGCATACTTCCAGAACTTTGCCACCTTCACCTACGAGTATCAGATCAACTTTGGAGGCCGAATCGTTCCTAGCAAGAGAGCGGCCAGTGCAGTCCCTTTGCAACTTGGGCCAGCGCCTCCAAGAGATGAGATCATCTTCAGGTATCGTGATGAGGAAGCTGAAGAAGTTGAACGCTATGCCCTATCGAAAGAAGGCATTGAAGAAAGCCAAAGGGAGATCGAGGAGGCCCTCAAGCCTGATGAGGAAGCAATGACTGCTGAAGCTGGTGTGCCAGCACCATCTGCCCCGCAAAGAGGTGAGCCTAGTGGAGGACTGCGAACACCCCCAGCTCTGGATGTCCAATCTGGGGAAAGGGGCACAGGAGGAGACATTCCTATGGTCATTGAGCCATTGCCGTGGGATGATGATCCACTACCTCCTGAAGGGCGAGTTCTGAAGAAACTCCCGCCGCCAGAATCTGCAGTCAGGGTAGAGCCAGAGGCCAAGAGGGCAAGGACGGGAGAGCTGTCAGGTGGAGGAGCAGGTTCATCAGGGCATCATGAGCTGATCGAGCGCCGGGTTGAGAAGGTATGCATTGGAGAAGAAACCATGTACCACCTCGACGAAGTCTTTGACATGGAGGTGATTGAGATTGAAGAAGGTGAAGAAACCGCGGAAGACTTGGTACCCGGTGCAATTCCAGAAGAGTTGTGGAGTGATGCTCCGTTGACACAGACTCCACCAGACCCTGACAGAGAAGTAGACCTGTTGGCGAACAAGGTGGAGGAGAGAAGGCTCATGAGGATGAATGTGATGGAGAAATTGGCTCCAGAAGAGGCACACCTGGACAAGCTGACCACGCGCTTCGTCCATGACTGGAGAGTCAAGTCATATGTCCAAGAGGACGGGAAGACACGCAAACGCTGGCTTCGAAGAGCACGATTGGTGGCTAGAGAGTATGCCAACGACAGGTGTGACGAAGTGTACAGCCCTGCCTCTGGACAACATGCTCTTCGACTCCTACCTGCATTGTTTTTGAATGACGTTGGAAGAAGTCAAGGCATCAGAGGAGAGCAAGGAGTGCCTACTTTGGGAGCACTGGACATCAAGGATGCCTTCCTACAGGTCCCACAAGAACGTCCTCTTCAGATCTCCACGAACACCGGCTACTACAAGGTCTTGAAGAACATCCCTGGACAGAGGATTGGAGCCAAAGCCTGGTACGAGTACCTGCGAAACTACCTAGAGAATGACCTCAACTTCACCTTCGATGTGGTGAACCCTTGCTTGGGAAGGAAAGGTGAAGGCAGTGAACTCATCTGTGTCCTGGTCCACGTGGATGATGTGATGTTCACTGGACGCCAGAAACCCGTCGATGCTTTTGTTGACAAGCTGAAGGAGAAGTTTGATGTAGAAGTGTCCATGATCAGGAACTACGACGATGAATTCTCCTTCCTCAAAAGGAAGTACATCTACATCCCGGAGGGCTTGTTGGTGAGACCTGGACAATATGCCACAAGAATGATCAAGACCTTTGAGGACAAGTATGGACCTGTGCGGAGACAGCGATTGCCAGCTACATCAGATATCCAAGATGCTGATGGATCAAATGCAGTCCCGTATGAAGATGCCTCGATATTTCGATCCATTGTCGGCATGGGCATCTACCTCTCGCAAGAACGGTTGGACATCAGCTTTGCGATAAAGGAGTTGGCAAGCAAGATGGCCAGTCCAACAGAGCTAGCAATGCAGAGAGCTCGAAGGCTGATTGGCTACCTCAAGGAGACAGAGGAGCAACACATCCTACTCCCTCTACCAGTCCAAGGGCAAGGTATGCATGGGCACAGCCATGAGATCTGGCTCCTGGAAAGCTTTACAGATGCCGATTGGAGTGGCAACAGAGCAACGAGAAAGAGCACATCCTCGTCAGTCCACAGCTTGAATGGCATGGTCATCTACACCACGTCAAGAGGTCAGAAGGTGGTGAGCCTTTCCTCAGCTGAGAGCGAACTCCATGCACTGGTGGCAGGAGCATGTGATGGCATCTGCATCAAACATGCGCTTGAGTTTTTGGCTGGAGACCCTGTACATCATGTATGTTGGGTAGACAACTCAGCCACCAAGCAGATTGCCAATAAGCGTGGAGCCGGACGACTTCGCCACATCAGTGGAAAATTGCTCTGGTGCCAGAGCAAAGTTGCTGACGGCACCATGGAGGTCAAACAGATCAGCACAGTGCTTAACGTGGCTGACATCGGCACAAAACCTCTATCAAAGGCAAGGCTGAGACTCCTTTTGTTCTGGTGCAATGCCAGGAATGGAGATGGAAGCCGTGTAGGTGAGCAGGAACATCAGGATTTTGAAAGCAACCACATCGAGAAGGGCAAGATTATGAAAGTCGCCAAGTACCTCAACAGGATTGTCTTTCTGAGCGGTCTTGAGCTGGCCGCGGGTTCCAAAACCGATGAAGGCTATGCTGAAAGCACCTACATATCTCCCTTCCAGTGGGTAATCCTCCTGATCGTCTTCGGCTTTCTGGCCATTGCCATCGTGATCCTATGGAGCAGAGTTCAAACTCTAGCCAAGCGAGTCGCCTTCCTCCAACATCGCATTGAAGAGGAAGCTCAAGCCCAGCAGAAGTTCATGGATCAGTGGGACAAGGAGAACTCCATGGCAGTGGACTACAGCGAACGCATCCACAGGGGCTTGATCAATGCTGGAGGGCATGTGGAGGATCCTTCAGTGCAGAGGGTAGAGTGGCAGAGCCTAAGCTATGTGGAGGAGATCAACAGATGGCATGATGGTTTGAGATTGAGAAAGAGATGGGACAAGATGAATGTGATCCAAGGAGAACGAGGAGAACAACTACCAGGGGCCGGCATCTACCGCATGGACATTGATCCTGGTGAACCGGGATTGAGTGGTGACAGTGTTGTGCTGGTACTGGACAATGGCCGAGTAGTTCAAGTACCAGTGGAGTATGTGGAGCCGACTGGAAGTGAAGCACCTGGGGAGCAGAATGCAGAAGTTTCGATGGCAGAGCCAGAACCATCCCCAGGAGAAGATGAACAGCAAGATGAAGAGATGGGCAGTGAGCACGAAAGCGTGCCAGAGGTTGTCGATGCTCCCTGGGAACCGGAAAGCATCAAAATCCCAGATCCTCAATTTGGCCATTTTAACAGGGCCTACAATCGAGCTGACCTCACGGCTCGAGAGGAAGTGTTGAAAATGGAAGCCAATTGGTTCCATGGACATAGGAATGGTGCACGAGACCTGATGCATGAAATGCAGAGCCTAATGGCAGGATCAGTGCACCACATCCATAACTTTGATCCATGAAAGATTAGACCAGAAGTAAAGAACTCACTGGTCTAAAGGAGGAGTACGAATGAATGAAAACAGTACTCACCCCTTTCCATGGTATGTTTGCAGCAAGTGCATTCATCGAACGATGACACGCACAAATCATGAAGTGTACGAAGACCGCTCTGGTTCGAAGGAAAAGCGCTTCGCAGATTTCATGTTTCCCCTTCCAAAGAAAACACGCACAAAGACTCCAATGACCAAGGGCAGTGGCCGAGATTTGTGATTCACTTGATTCTGGGTGAGTTGGACTTGGAGAATTTCAGAATCATTCACACTCAGAAGGGCCTACGCAACTGCTTGGGCTTCTGAGGCCTGCACGCAGATGGCCTCTGGAAGTCGCTTGGTTGCACGAGAGGTTCCATTAGATGCAATTCTGGGTGGTGCCCATATCACTTGCCCCCGGCGCTTTTTCACGACAAAGTTTTTGTTTTCAACAGTGTGGAATGGGCTCGTGTTTCCGCTTGATAATTTCGAGCCTGTTTCGGATGTTCATCATGTCTGGTGAACTGCAGGGGAAGACTGAATTCTTGCTGCACCTGAAGTGCTAAGGAACAGTGCAAAGTTCCAAATAGATTTTCGCAATTCCTTAAACTTCCAGAGTCAGAGTTCGATCCTCATAGAATTCCAACCTGAGAGCTTCCCTGCGTCACTATACTTGTTGCATTTCTGTCTTCCAGCCTGCACCCGAGGTGTTCCTTCTGACGCCCTTCCTGAGGGAACCGGTCCAACGACCGACGGCGCGAAGGAAGCTGAGGCTCAAGCTGATGGCAGGCTGCTGGCTGGTGGGGCGATCGGGTGGGTGCGGCTGTGCAGTTGGTGGGTCGGCTCAAGCTACTCGGTTGGTTTCTGGGTCGCCAGGATCTCATTGGGAGTGAATGACACCATGAAAGTACAGACACGGTTTGAGCAAGAGATCCAGACGTGAAAAATAGCCCAAAACGGTTCGGGCTATGGTTGTGAGTCAATTCGAGACTGCTAGATTGCAGAGGTAGCTCTGCAGTGGGTTTGGCAAGTATATAATATCCTGCTTCCCTCAATCCCTCATTTTCAGACGCAGCCACCTTTGTGTCTTTGTTAAAGTGCCGGAATCAGGTCCTAAAGTTTAGATGGGAAAGAAGCGGAGACTGAACTGCTGACAGAACCCACTCTCCAAAGCAATAAATAATGCGTGGCCAACGGGTGGTACTTGTAGCTTCATGGAAAAAGATAACCGCTGGCAATGTTCATGGCACAGTGATGATGAAAGCCGTTCAGATCCAGGAACACCTCTAGCTTGTGCGGCAGGAACCTGGAGACTCGAAAGGACCAGAATGACGCCAACACAGCAACTGGGCTGGGTTTATCAGAGGCGAAGGTGTCAGACGGTCAGACCAGGCACGTGTTCATTTGTCTTGAGTTGCTACGGAAACAGGAGCAGCTGGTGGACTTCTGGTCGGTACAAGGTTTCCTTCCGTGTTCTCCACCAACGAGCCGAACTCGTCAGAACCACAACATCTAACGGGTTGCGATCCAAAGCTGAACAGCATGAGGTGGTTTCCGTGTCGAAAGCGAGTTGACGAAGCCAATCGGGTTGTCCACAGACCGGTCCATATATCTATACCCTACAAGTCCAAGGGCCAAGTTAAACCTGGTCCTTGACCTCATTGAGTACTGGCTTTGCATGACTGGATCCAGCCAGATGAGATATCCATGTTGATCTATTTTTATCTCTTTCTCTATCTAATTTATTTATTTGTCTATCTGCCTATCTGTGCAGCTTGGCAGATGTGGCTGCTGAAAGCTCCTGAGGGTGTGACGGACTTGCCCGTCAAGGAGTTGGCCTTTTTTCGGAGGGCCAGGAGACCCAGTGGAGGAATGGCAGACATGGCAGGTGTGTCAAGTTCTGGGTTTGGAGAACATCATCGTTTGGTCAAGCCAGTTGCAACGTATCTAATCCAGTTAAAAAAACAGTTTTGGAGGCGAAAGGATTTCCTGAGAAGAGGCCAGTGGTCCCTTTTCTTCATCGGCCTACTTATAGATGCACTTCGGCTGTCTCCATCTACTTGGGGTCACTCCTGCACTGCCAAGTGAACTCTAGTGTCGCGTTGGCATCAACGACCAGCTGTGCAACCAACGGGCGGGAAACGGGAGAGGCTCCTTTTCATTTTTGCTCTTTCTTTCTTCTACACAACTGCGAGTACTACAAACCCGGTCCCAACACTTGAGAAATCTTGGGTGCAGCTGTGCAAATCTTCAGATTCAAACACTTGTGATCTGCTCACACCACTTGGTCCCAACTTTTGAACCCTTCGCGCTTGGCAGTTGACGCGCCGCTGCTGAATTCTACGCGCCGCTGCTCGCCGCGCAGAGGGCCGAGTTTGTCTGGCCAGGTCGCGGGTGCTGGCTCAAGGGATAATTTGGTACTCTCTTGATGGAGGGTGTTTACCATCTTTTTGGGCAATACACGCACACAGACACACACACACACATGTTGGTATGCTCGAAAGAAAGGACCGAACACGGGGATGCTCATGAAAACACAGCGTTCTTCTAAGGGCTTGCCCTCAGTCAAACAAGCAATCATAAGCCACTCACAGACCACCCTGGTTTGAGAAACATCCATTCCAAGCTTACAAAAACCCAAACCTTGTGAAGGTGCTTGTTTCAAAAGAAAACACTGGGTACAATGTGACATGTGAAATTCCGGAAAGGACCATGTAGTTGGAAGCCCATTTCCAGCTCTTCAAGAAGTTTCTTCTTAGCCTCGAAAGAGTGGTTTTTCAAGGTTCACGGCTGATACGCCGCCCTTGCGCCTGTCACGTTTTGTTGTTCGCTGTCTAAGGTGGGGTGAATTGGGGAGTTAATGACTTGCTTGTTGCGATGTAAGGATGCAGTTATACGTACCTCACTGTTTTCTTAATTTGTGTATTGCGACGTACTTTTTCAATTTTCGCACACATTCGCTGGGGCACACACCTTATCTCGTTTTTGCACAAGGTGCTTGGTCCGATGTACTTTCGTCTCGCTCGCATTTGCTGGATACGGTGTGTTTCCGAAGTTTTTTGCATGAAGGCTGAAGGCCCGAGAAGTAGCGGCCGTGATCTGTGAGTTGTTAGTGTTGTCATTACGGTTGGTTGGTGTGTCCTGTCCTTCTGGTGTTCTCGTTTGCAACCATTGCGGTGGGTGAACGTGTTTTCTTAAGATCAACAAAAAGAATGTACACATATTTTGACCCTGGATTGCAGTGACCTCTTGGTCTTTCTTGTTGACAATATGGTCTTGGATTCCGATCATTGTTGCAACTGGGACCGGTGCTGTGGAAGTAAAAAAGGGACAGGTGCTCGCATGTCGAAATCAGGCAACGACCTTCAAGTCGAAGAATACTTTCCGCCTTTTTTTTTAATGTGAAAGAAGCTTGCGTGTTGAGTTGCAAAGCCTTGCGAACTAAGAACAATTTACTGTATCATGAAAGAACTCTTCCCTGAACCATCAGACCTTCAAGAACACTTTTCCCAACCTTTTTCCCACACTCCTAACAGAAATGAGCGGAACTCTCTGCAGCAAAACACGCAACACAAACAATTGGTCGACGTGGGAAGCTTGATGCACCTGCAAAGACACTTCAAAATCAAATCTACTGTATATACCAATGCCAAAAGAACATCCGCAAACACGAAAACAACCCCAAAAATACAAGCAGACAGTTGCAGGGTGGCTCAGACAGCCTGCGAGTCTTGTTGAACCTTGCGAATCGACCAGAATTCTCCCGATCAGGTGCGTCATGAAGATTGCGGGTCTCTCAGTCATGCAGTGGACCAGGCGGGGCAGCTGAGCCAAAACAGCGGGCGTTTGGCGTCGGGAGCACATGCGATTTGTTGGGGAATGTGAGCTCGCTTTGCAAAGGATGGGAGCAAAGCAAGTGTGCAGCCTGAGGTCCCAAACATGTTTCAGGAGCAAGGCATTTGTCAGAGAGTTTTCCTTTACTGCGGTTGCTGCAATCGGGCCCAAGTTTGTTGGGGCACAAGCAGCTCTAATTTGGACTTTGCTCACAGATGTTGATCAATCCTTAGTACTCCCACCAAAAAGCCTTATTTTCTTTTGGAACAAGATGAAGACCGGCCCAAATTCAATAGGCGGGTCATTCACTGGTTTGAGAGACAGTTGCACTTTGCTCCAAAAAGTCTTCGGGAGCTGTTGCAGTGTTTGGGTCGGTTAAGTTATGTCCCTTCCATCTCTGACTGGAATCTTTGCTCAGATTCGCGACCCCAACTAGCCGGAGAACCTTCACGCGCGCTGCACTCAACTCTGAGACGGTGCGCGCGGTGGACATCATCACAACCCTGAAGTGCAGTGGCAACTTAGCAGCAACAAGGGATAAGGCCTTTTGTGCCGTTCAAGGAGGAGTTGCTCGGACGAAAGCAGCCGTATTCCACTCGACAGGCAATGGCCTCAAAGTCTCCTGGTAAGGAAGGTACACTGAAATCTGGTTTTCTCAGCACCACGATTGTTGAGACCAGCTCACTTAGAATGACCTTGGAGCTTCTCTTGTTGTCAATCCGACCTGAAGTTCTACTTGATGGGAACTTAAGCTACAACCACTTGAAACGCGTGGGTGAAACCCGCCAGTGAAACCCCGCGTGAAAACCAACGAGCACGCACACTAAACACAAACAGAGTATCTACACGAGGCTTTGAACACATTGATTCGCCCGCGCTCACTTCGAACTCCACCGCCACACCCACTGCTTTGCGCTGTCTTTCGAGACGTTTGGGATCTTACTTTGGGTGTTGGGCCGATTCCAAAGCCCTAGCCCACGTGCTGTTGAGGATGACCGTGAGGAGACCATCAACCGTGTTGATCCCTCAGGTTGGGGAGACCTGTAAAAGATTGCTGGAGAGTCCCTTCAAAGAACACCTACCCAACGTTGGACCAGAGGTTCGGACTGTTTGGATTCCACGTTTGTTTTCGGCTCGTTCCATCGACATCGACTCGCTGCTGGACGGACTGAGATAGCTCCATTGCATAACTCCGTCTTGCGAGCAATCCTTAGGTCCAAGACCTCCGAGGCCACAGGCGACCTTGCGAGCTTGAACTAATGTCCGCAGCAATCGGAAGACACGAACTATCTTTTGAAGGGATTTGACAATGGTGTTGAAGAGTAGATAGCCTCTGCGGGGATAGAAAGGAACTGCTGCACGCTTCTGACTACGCCGAGTTGGAAGACAGACAGGTTGAGTCACAGATGTTTTGTTGGAAGTGCAGCGATGTTGGTAATTGCAAGTTGGAGCTCTTGGACGACTCTCTTTCACCTCGTCGCCACGTTTTTGAGGCTTCCTTCGGGTTGGCTGCGTGCGG